CGGGGCGGGATGACTCAGCGCATTCGCGCTGACGGAGCAGACATCGAACGAAAGGGAACTAGTGACGTGGTTTTTTTTTGATCAAATAAGGTCTTTGTCGGTGTCAAAACCGGCGGATCTCGGATAGGGGGTCCCAAACTGTGCGTCTAAGGCTAATGGTAACAGGAGGCGGGGGACACAATGTTTACCCAGGTTCGGGCCTCTCTATGTAGGTAATACCCTACTTCCTGCTTGATTGATCTTGATGAATATGAGTATTACGAGAGTTGATCTACCACGAGATCCGCCGGTTTTGACACCAACATTGGTGCTTTCATTGAGAGTTTCACTGCATCATCACCTGAAGGCTTGATGGCTCCATCAATCATCTAAAACAACAAAGTCCAGGGAGAGATCTTCCTCCCTGGACAGATCTTCGTATTTGGCGGCTTCACACTGCAGGCCAACTCACTTGGCCATTTAGAGCAGATCGATAGCTACGCCCCTGGCCGTCAAGTCAGATTCGGGAGCCTAAATTTCATGGCGGACATCCGCGGAGACTTGATCTTCGACGGGTTCGAGCCCGTGATGGCTGCCCCCGGCCACCACGGTGAACATGACCTAGATCTGTCATCCGGTCATACATAGGAGAAAGCGCCTGTGACCGCCCTGGCCCTAGAGCCGGAACGGACTGCGTCGTCCGAGGACGGGAGGCTTAACCCCACCATGGAAGCCGCAGACTCAGCGGCGCTCGAGCCGCGCACATACCAACATCGAGTTGGGCTTGTATCACCGGAACCCCGGACTCATCTCCGGCCATGGGTTCCGGGCCGCGCGCATCCGCGTCCATCAAACCTGTTTGGGCGCCGATCTTGCAGTTCAGCTCCGCGGACATCTTCCAGCACTCGCCTTTTGGCGACATACTAAACTCATTGAAGTCCCTCTCCTTGTCAGGGGACTCTCGACCGAACTATGTCCAGCTCGAGTGGGAAGCGGACAACGAAGAACTTCGTTCCCCACCCACCACCCACTTCATTGCCACTGTCGAGGACTTAACCGACACGCTCGATTACGGCTCTGAAGACATCGATGGTATGGACGACGATGCCGGAGAAGAGCAGGCACAAAAACCACCACCTTTAGGGCAGTGGACAGCTACATCGTCATACAATATATACATGATGGACACACCAAAGGAGAATGAGGCTGACGGCGATAACAACATACCTGTCGATGAACCTCCTAAACACTGGCGTCCCAAGCGCCGACCTCGATCCGACAAAAGGAAAAACAACAACATTGTCACGGACGATGATGGTAATCTGAACCAAGCTGAGGACCCCGCAGACCCAACATTGGAGCAGGGCGTGCGAGAGGACGGCGAACACAGTCCGGAGATGTTATCCGACCACAGCGACGCCGAAGATAGAAATTACCAACCTGTCTCTGAAGAGGAGATCAGCCTGGGCGACGATGAGTTCGTCATCCCAAAAGAACCATTTGAACAAGAACGCCTCCACCAAAGGCTTATCGCCACAACAAGGAGCCTGAAGGAGCAGAAGCAGCGGCTTAAAGCCGCACATGATATGCTCAATGACAGATGGAAAGAAGTGCTAGACGCTGAGGAAAAATACGGCGGTAATCGCCAAACAAAGAGCTATTCTAAACGTAAGCTGCTGCCCGAATTCGACGACGAGGCTATCGCGCCTATACCGCCGAAAAACAATACGGTCGACTGGCCAAACCGACCACCTCACTGTCGCGACATAGCCATACACAAGCCCGCACCCCCTCCCTGCAAAGGAAGGAAGGCTGCGGCCCAGGACCAAAAACACGATCTATGTGAGGACCTGGACAAAAAAGCTGGCAAAACCAGGTCCATCTATGGATCCAGGGAACGTGCTCCTACACGGGATCACTATTATCAAACAAAACATGCCGGCCATTTACCAGCTTGGAACCAATACCGAACATTACAACCGCCGGACCCAATCCACGACACAGCCAGATACAGGGGTGCCGCACAACCCCTGTGCTTCACTGATGAGGTGCTGGAACACGATTTTCTAGAAGGGTTCAAACCTGTAAACATCTAGGAATATGATGGTACGACGGACCCCGCGGTTTGGATAGAAGACTTTATTCTTCACATCCACATGGCTCGCAGAGATGATCTCCATGCCATTAAATATTTACCCCTCAAGCTAAAAGGACCAGCTCAGCATTGGCTAAAAAGCCTCCCCGAAAACTCCATCGGAAGCTGGGAAGAACTTGAGGATGCTTTCCGGGCCAATTTCCCAGGGACCTATGTCCGGCCTCCGGATGCAGATGATCTAAGTCACATAATCCAACAACCCGGAGAATTAGCCCGTAAGCTTTGGAACAGGTTTCTCACTAAGAAGAACCAAATTGTCGACTGTCCGGACGCCGAAGCCTTAGCGGCCTTCAAACACAGTGTCCGTGACGAATGGCTGGCCAGATACCTCGACCAAGAAAAGCCAAGGACAATGGTCGCCTTAACTGCACTCATGACCCGCTTTTGCACGGGCGAAGATAGCTGGTTAGCCCGTAGTAGCACCAACGACCCCGTCACATCCGAAGTCAGGGACGTTAATGGAAGACACAACAAAAATAAACGTCAGAATAATAAAGAAAGCCCAGACAATACAACGGTAAACGCCGGATTCTGGGGCTCCAGACCCGGTCAACGGAAGAAGCCATGTAAAGGCAACAAAGACAGTCCATCCAACCTGGATAAAATTCTAGACAGGCCCTGCCAGATTCATGGCACTCCCGACAAACCAGCCAATCATACCAACAGAGAATGTTGGGTCTTCAAGCAGGCCGACAAACTCAATGCCAAAAACAAAGGGAAGGTACCTCAGAGCGAAGACAAGGATGAACCTCGCCAGCCAAACACGGGGGGACAGAAGAAATTTCCACCGGAGATCAAAACAACGAACATGATCTATGTCACTCATATCCCAAAGTGGGAGCGCAAGCGTGCACTCCGAGAGGTCTACGCCTTTGAGCCCATCGCCCCCAAGTTCAACCCATGGGCGGCCTGTCCGATCACCTTTGATCGCAGGGATCATTCGACTAGTATCCGTCATGGGGGTTCGGCTGCCCTAGTGCTCGACCCCATAATCGACGGATACCACCTCACTCGAGTCCTCATGGACGGCGGCAGCAGTCTCAATCTGATATATCAGGACACTGTCCGTAAGATGGGGATAGACCCGTCAAGAATCAAGCCAAGTAGCACTACCTTTAAAGGAGTCATACCGGGCGTGGAAGCCCGCTGCACGGGCTCTATAAGATTGGATGTTGTATTCGGCTCGCCGAACAACTTTTGAAGCGAAGGACTAATCTTTGACATCGCTCCGTTCCGAAGCGGCTATCACGCACTACTCGGAAGAACGGCCTTCGCCCGTTTTAATGCAGTCCCGCATTATGCTTATCTAAAACTCAAAATGCTTAGACCTCGTGGCGTCATTACGGTCAGTGGAAATATGGAGCGCTCTCTTCACACAGAGGAATACACGGCGGCTCTAGCAATCAAAGCACAAAA